AACCAAACTGATAAATTTTGATTTCAGAGCTTCATCACATTAAAGTTTGTGAGATTATTTTTAGGCGTGCAAAATCTTGTGCTTGATTATGTTATATAATGGGAAAACTCCAAAATTCCGCCTATTGCTCGTCTTCTTTCCATTGATATTGTCATTGTGAGAAACTAATTCTAATGTAGGACACAAGAAAAAAAGTACCCCAACAAGAGTATATAAACAGGAAGATTATCTCATGCTGAGGATCAAACGATAGTACAATGGTATACCAGTGCTCTAATAAATTAGATTGGAGCGATTGTTTGTTTTGCACAAGGCTTCAAAGGAAAGGAAAGTAAAGAAATATAACGAATAACCCAACATACATGAGAATTGAAAGCAGTCTAGAAAGTTTTAGAGTTTACCTTTGTGGATAACATTTTCCTTTTGAAATTATTCTCTTTCTGCGGAAGGTCTCCTTGATTTTGAGCTACTTGAACAACTAGAATTTCTTAACCTCCTTAGACTTGTTGGTTTAAATAGTTAGTTTGATGTAGGGTTGCAAAATGTGTTTTTGCTCACATGATGATGATATATATGAAGTCTATTCGTGTCTCTTTCTGTCTAACTCCGCATATAAGTCCTTTTATACTCTATGAGTATTTTCTTCTGTGTCCTTCAATTGAAATATGAAGTTCATTTTAAACATTTGGGATAAAGTTAATGAATGCTTCAGCGGGCGGTGCCATAAACTGCATTTTTTTTTATAGGGGTATTTATATACATAATCATATGATTATGATATAAATATCTATTTATTATCCATCTTTCATTCTTACTTGCATAGCCCTCAAACCTTACCCCTGTTACATGATAGTATTTGAATGAAAGCATATTGATTCTTTTTACTGAAATTTTAGTCCTTTGTTGTTTTCAGATTGCAGCTAATGTGTGGATATTTGCTGCTATTTATATTTTCCACCATTAAGGCAGTGCTAGTTTTAGCTTATTAGCTTTTTTTTCCTTTATTGCTGCACTATCGGTGCTAGAAACGATTTTTTTATGCTAATTTTGCATTTGAAATTGTACTGTTTTGAGTATTTCCATCTTCTTTACAGCCACAAGTTTAATCTGAGGCTAATTGAGTTGCATTCAAGTTGCAAATCTATCATTTTTTTATGTCCATTTCTTGGAGATTCATTTATTACTTGAAAGAGTAAGAATAAAGACTTTATTTCTCTTTCACATATGCGGTGTATTATTCTATTATGATCTTCACTACAGTCGAAATATTTTCACTGCCTTTTGATCTAAATGTTATGGTTGCAACATCTCATTCCCCTATGCATTGTGATAGTAAAAGTTGTATTTAAATTATTTGTTAACTAAATGCTTCATGAAACAAACTAATCATTTTTAAGATAGACTGTCATCTAACTTATCATCTACTTTAATATGGCCCTCTTAATGTATCCTTTATTTGGTCTTCTTTAGATTATTCCAGACAAAATAAAGGATAAATGAAATGGATTGGCTGAAGAGGAAGAAACTCTCTCCTACATTCTTCTTCTCACTTTTGACCCCTTTCATCTTCTGATTTCACCAAAATAGAAGACTGTAAATTTAAAGATAAGTAAATATAA